TTGAAAGACTGCCAGAGACTAAAAATAAAATTTGGTCTTTATTGACAACAGCTGGCGGGTTGTCCTGCTAGCATGAGCAGCAGCCTCACAGCAGAAACACCAGGCTATTATTAGGAAAAGTCTCATCCTGGTGCCCCAAGCGCTTTTTTTTTTTCCTTTTTGGGTCACACACCCATCAATGCTCAGGGGTTACTTCTGGCTCTGCACTCAGGAATTACTCCTGGCGGTGCTTGGGGGATCATATGGGATGCTGGGAATCGAACCTGGTTCGGCTGCATGCAAGGCAATCTCCCTACCTGCTGTGCTATCACTCCAGTCCTCCCTCCCCTCACCCCCGCCCCAAGTGCTTTCTTAAGCACCTACCAAAAATTTGTTTTGTCCACTGGGTCCACATCCTGACCCAAGATAAGTTCATGCAAGAAGCACAGCAAAGCAAGCATTGTCACAGAAGTGAGAAAAAGCAGTTACAGCAGTAGCACATGAAGCAAACAATCAGTCATCTTTAACTATATCCCTTTAGGACCCTAGCCTGTTGTTCCTGTTTGCAATCCATGACAGGCTTTTGGGCCCTTGTGAGAAGGGCCCAAAAGTGTATTCCATAAAGTGTATTTATGGAATAACACAGTTGAATCAGCAAAAAACAAAACAAAACAAAACAAAACACAAAAAACAAAAAAACCCCAAAAACCAAAACCCAAAAGACCAAAAAACAAACTTCTAAAAAAAACCCTAAACTTGTTCTTCTTGTTCTGCCCTTTCAGTCTCCCCTTCACACAGTCAAAAAAAAAAGTTAAGCCTACCACAATATTTTTTAATCAAGGCTTAGTCCATAGAAAGGTACTGCACTGTAGTACTGCAGTGCTGTCCTCCTGTTGTTCATTGATTTGCTTGAGCGGGCACCAGTAATGTCTCCATTGTGAGACTTGTCCCTGTTTTTGGCATACCAAATACGCCAGGGGGAGCTTGCCAGGTTCTGCCATGCAGGTGGGATACTCTCAGTAGCTTGCCGGGCTCTCCGAGAGGGACGGAAGAATCGAACCAGGGTCGGCCACGTGCAAGGCAAACGCCCTACCTGCTGTGCTATTGCTACACCCCCAGGTACTAACTCTTCAAACTGCAGAAGCCTGAAGTTAGCAGAGGCTGTTTAATGAAGTATGAAGGAAGAAACTATTTCCATAACGTGAAATGTGTAGTAAAGCGAGTACTGATGGGGAAGCAGCAACAGGTTGTCCAGAAGATCCAGTCAATTACTTTGACAAAGTCAGCTGCGCTGAACAGCATTTTGTCAGTGTGAATGGACACATTTTCATGTCTCTGTCATGTCATGTCCATATTGTCAGTATGAATGGACAGAAGAAAATTGTCGCAGGAGGTCATCACTGGGGAGAAGTCAGTGTCCAGTGTCCTGGCTCAAACCCTGGCTTCACAAACGGACTTTAAACCTCTTTCAAACACAATTTCCTGTGTTGACACTCTTGTTCGGGGACAAGGCAGCTGGTTATTTTAAGTTGATGTCAGTGCTCATTCAGCATTTCACGTGAACCCTGAAGAATTACACTAATTTTACTCTGCCTGTGCTGCAGGAATGAAAGTCTGAATGACAGCACACATGTTTGTAACACAGTTCACTGAATGGTTCAAGTTCACCATTAAAATATGAACTGCTTAGATAGAAATACTCCTTTTAAAGCATTGGGGTTCATGACTAAGAGTGAATGGATCAAGTAGTTGTGGTGTATATGAAATATCATGCAGTTCTGTGGAATGTTATGTAGATCTAAGAAAGATCTGGGCTGGAGCGATTGCACAGCGGTAGGGCATTCGCCTTACAAGCGGCCAACATGGCCGACCCGAGTTCGATTCCTCCTCCCCTCTTGGAGAGCCCGGCAAGCTACCGAGAGTATCTCGCCCGCACGGCAGAGCCTGGCAAGCTCCCCGTGACGTATTCCATATGCCAAACACAGTAACAACAAAGTCTCCAATGGAGACGTTACTGGGCTCGCTCGAGTAAATTGACGCTCAACGGGAGGGCCTTTACCTTTTACCTTTACCTTTTAAGAAAGAACAAAAACATGCAATTTTCTGTGACATGGATGGATCTAGGAGATATTGTGCTGAATGAAGTCAGTCAGAAAAAATACATTTGACTGGTTTAGCACCTTCATGATTGCGTGGGGAACACCGAGAGAGAGAAAGCCACAAAAGACGCCTGTCTTCAGAAACTCTTGAGCTTATTTGTCAAAGTGGCTTGGTGCAAGCCTCAGGCAATCACACGCGAATGTCCAAGCTCACAAAGCAGTGCAGAGAAGCGATAAAGGAAGACCTCAAAGAGAGAAGAGCAGCAGTGCTGGCAGATGCGGCAGGAAAAGCATTCGCAACGCCTGTCTGTCCTTAGTCAACTACAAGACCAAGATGACTGCCCTCCGACATCCTGATGGATCTAACACATCTTCCAGAAGGGCAATGAAGAAGATTATCCATGACTTCTACTCGGATCTCTTCGATAGCCACGTCCACATACCAAATTCCGCAGGATGGATATGTCATTCCCAACGTTCTCCCTTCAGAAATCCGACATGCCATTTTGTTGGTAAAGAAGTGAACAGCACCTGGCCCAGACAAGGACAGACCTGAACATCTGAAGAATCTGCCGTCAGTACTCATCAATACACTGGCTCGGCTCTTCACTCGCTACCTGTCTGAATGCAAGGTTCCGTCCCAATGGAAAACCAGCAGGACCGTACTACTGTTCAAGAAGGGAGACATCCATGACATTGGCAACTATCGCCTGATCTGCCTGTTGTCTGTTGTCTATAAGCTGTTCACTCAAATCATCCTGAATAGGATTGGCAGAACACTAGATGAAGGACAGCCATGTGAGCAAGCCGGGTTCCATATCCACAGGGTAACCAAGCTCATTGAGATTTTTCAGGAGTTCAAGATGCCACTTTGTCTAATGTTCATTGATTTAAAGAAGGTCTTTGATTCTGTTGAGACTTAAGCGGTCATCGAAGCCCTAGCCAAACAGGACGTTCAAACTCAATACATCAGGATCCTCCGTGAGCTGTATTACAGATTCACTACAAGGATCTCACCATTCTAACAAGGAAGTGATCATCCATGTCAAGAAAAGGGTTAGGCAGAGTGATACCATTTCATGGAAACTCTTCAGTGCCACCCTCGAGAACGTCATGTGACGACTGGAATGGGAAGGAATGGGAGTGAAGTTAAACAGTTGGCAACTACACCACTTCCCCTTCACTGATGAGATCGTTCTAATAACACCAAACATTAGCCAAGTGGCACAAATGCTGACTGACTTTGACCATGAGTGTGGAAAGGTTGGACTGCAGCTGAATATCACCAAGACAACATTCATGAGAAACGGACTCATTCCTGATGTTCCATTCACTCTCAACGGAACGGACATCTCTGAATTATGTGTTATGTGTACCAAGGTAGAGAACTCAAGATGATGAACGACCTGGCACCTGAGTTGTGTAGGAGGAAGAAAGTGGCTTGGAACAACTTCAAGAGTGTGGAAGAAATAGATAATAGGATGAAGAACCTCCAGCTTTGGGCACATCTCTTTGACTCCACCGTTCTTCCTGCATTAACATACGCCTCAGAGACCTGGGTCCTACAAAAACAGGATGAGAACACTATTTAGGTCTCCCAAAGAGGAAATGAAAGAGCTATGCTTGGAGTATCACCCTTCACTCAAGTAAGAGAAGGAATCTGGAGTCCCAACCTCCATCAACGATCAAGAATCAGGGACGCCGTCTCATTTGCCAAGGCATGGAAAATCAGATGGGCCGGACACATAATTTGATTTGGAGATGACCGCTGGACTAGAGCCATTACCCACTGGATTCCATGGGATGTCAAAAGATCGCATGGCTGCCCACCTATGAGATGGTCAGATTTCTTTATTTTTCCTTCTTCTTCTTATATTTATTTATTGAATCACTGTGGGAAAAGTCACAATGCTTTCAGGTTTAAGTCTCGGTCATACAATGATCAAACCCCTCCCAATGCCTGTGAGGTAGGTGATCTCTACTTAACTCTTCTGAGATGGTCAGACTTCTTTGTCAAGACCCTGAATGATCAGTTTGAGGCTCTTCATGTTCCTGAAGCAAGCAGATGCCATTGGGCTACACTAGCACGTGACAGGGACGAATGGAGACATTATTGGCGCCCACTCGAGCAAATTGATGAGTAACAGGATGTCAAGTGATCAAGTGATCAAGTGATAGCAGCTCAATTTGTACTTGACTGAGAACTCTCCATACTGTTTTCCATAGGGGCTCAACCAGACAACATTCCCACCAGGAGTGGATGAGAAGTGTTCTTTCACCACATCTCTGCCAACACATATTATTCTTAGTACTTTCAATATGGGGTATATGGGCTGGAGTGATAGCACAGTGGGTAGGGCATTTGCCTTGCACGAGGTCAACCCGGGTTTGATTCCTTCATCCCTCTTCTAGAGCCCCGCAAGCTACTGAGAGTATCCCACTCGCATGGCAGAGCCTGGTATGCTCCCCGGGGCATATTCAATATGCCAAAAACAGTAACAACAAGTCTCACCATGGAGATGTTACTGGGGCCTGCTTGAGCAATTTGATGTACAATGGGAGGACAGTGCTATAATGCAGTGCTACTATCTCTCTGATCTGATCCACGAGAGAGATCATTCTGAGTGATCATTCTGTTCCTCTCCCTCTGACTGATTTCATTCAATGTGATACTCTCCAGATCCATTCACATAGCAGCAAATTGCATGACTTCATCTTTTCTTTTAACTGAGTGGTATTTCATTGTGTATATACACCATAGTTTCTTTATCCAGTCATCTGTTCTTGGACGTTTGTTTTTCTTCCAGATTTTGGCTATCGTGAACAGTGCTGCAGTGAACACGGGAGTGCAGATATCCTTCCTGCATTGTGTTTTGGACCCCTGAAGTACATTCCCAGGAGCGGAATTGCTAGGTCATATGGAAAATCAATTCACTAAAAATCTCTTTTTCTGCTTCCTGGCACAGGTGATTATACTTATCTATCTCCTGAGACTGGGAGTGGATATAAGATTTTCTTTTATCAATGAAACATGAGCAAAAGTGGTATGTGTTACTTTCAGGTGGGAGCATTAAAAAAAACTGTGTGTGTTTCTTCATGCTTTCCCCCCCTACCATGGTCATCATGGAGGCACATCCATGTTTATTTGGAACATGGGTGTTGTAAAAGTAAATTGGATTTCTGATAAAAAAAATATGGAAGAGAGTTTCTCAGAACTGTATTGAATTTTTGATGAACAAGAAATAAACCTTTGTTATATTAGATACTGAAATTTTGCTCTTGTTTTTTTCTGAAGCACAATTAGCCTATATCACTAATTCAGAAATCCACAATCTGAATGAAAAAATACATATTGAGTCAGAAATCCATAATTGGAAATTCATGATCTAGATCATTACATTATAAAACTAGGTTATATATGTGGAGACCTTTAATTCTAATTTTTAGGATGATGCTGTTTTATTTATTTTTATTAAAAATTTTAAATTGAATATAGTATTCCATAAAAACTGAGATACACAGTTACAAAGTTGTTCATGATTGTGTTTCAGTCATACAATGTTCTAATACCCATTCCTTCACCAGGGTGTTTCGCTCAACCAATGTCCCTAGTTCCCCCCTTGGCCCCACCCCTCCAGCCTGCTTCTATGGCAGACATTGCATGCAAGGCAAATGCCCTACCGCTGTGCTATCGCTCCAGCCATAAATTTAATAGCCATAAATTTCTCCCTTAGCATAGCTTTTGCTAAGTCACATGTTTTGGTATACTGGATTTCTTTTTTATGTTTGTTTTTTTTATTTGTTTTCTTTTTCTTTTTTTTGTTTTTGTTTTTGGGACACTTGCAATAGCGGCTATTCCTGACTTTGTGCTCAAGAATGATGCCAGTGGTGCTCAGGGAACTGTGTACAGTGCTGGGATCAAACTGGGATTGATCTCCTGCAAGGCAGACACTCTGCTTCTTGCGCTATCTTTTTTCTGTTTTGTTTCATTTTTTTTGTGGGGACTCCCAAGTTTCTAAGTAGTGCTCAGAAGGTCTCGGGGGTTCTCCTGGCCAACCAGGCAGCCAGTTCAGTTCAAGATCCTGGGATACCATACTCTCCATGATCCCTGCATCACCACTGATCCCTGGGCCATGCTGGTTCTGCTGGGGTCCTTCAGGGCTGTACCTGGCGATGCTGAGGGGACCATGTGGTGTGGGGATTGAATCTCTGCACTATTTACTGGACCTGTAGTTTGGTTTTCATTTGTCTCTAAGTATTTACATTCAGAAAACAAGAAAGTCACCTGCTGGTGTTTTGCTCAGAATGTATCTTCGTTGCTTAAGATACATCTTTGTGCTTGAGTTTTCCATAATGACTCTTGCAAACGAGAACAGTTCTGGTTAAAGGATTTAAAGCCAGAGCTATTGGCAGACGGGAAGGACATTTTGCAAAGCATCTTTTTTTCCTTTTTGGGTTACACGTGGCGATGCACAGGGGTTACTCCTGGCTCTTCACCCAGGAATTACTCCTGGCGGTGCTCGGGGGACCACATGGGATGCTGGGAATCGAACCCAGATTGACCGTGTGCAAGGCAAACACCCTACCCACTGTGCTATCGCTCCAGCCCCTTGTGAAGTGTTTTTAAAGCTCCCATACACTTGGTCTATATTAATGTTTAGAACACCTGTTCAGGAGGCAAGCCCTATGTTCATTCTGCTTGCTATTCTCTTTCTTTGTTTTGGCCACACCCAGTGATACCCAGGCATTACTCATGGCTCTGCACACAGGAATTACTATTGGCAGTGCTTGGGGGACCATATGGGTTTCTGGGGATCAAACTAGGGTCAACTGCAAGCAAGGCAAATGCCCTACATGCTATACTATCTCTTGGGCCCCTGTTTTTTTTTTTTTTTTTTACCATTTACACATTTTAACACTGAGCTATCTCTCTGGTCATCTTAATTTTCATAGTGCTTTGACTAAGAAACACTGAGGTGACAAATTACAAGTGGTTTGGGCTAGCAAACTGGAGAGGAAGAGAGAAAAGTCTCTGTGCAGAGCCAGTAGGAAGATCACGCAGGATTGTGTGCTCACTGAAGTCCCGCCTTCTTCCTTTGAGACTTTAGGCAACTTCTGTCTCATAGTTCTCTTTTTCTGTTTTTTTCTACTTTTGGTGACTTTCTTGAAGTGACTGAGTGGTGTGTGCTGTCTCTGGTCCCTGCTTCTTCCAGCGATGACTTGCAGAGTCCTTCTATTAACAGGTATGTCAAGGTCAGGGTGTGGGGGGTTGGTCCTGTGAAGAAAAGGGAAACGTTTGCATGAATGAGTGGAGAGAAAGGAGGTGGACGATTAGGAATTACACTGGGGTGAAATCAAGGAGATTGATAAAGAATGAGAATTCAAGAAGCAGAAAGTAGAGCTAGATTGAATGGGATGACTGGAGAGGCTGGAACTCATAGCTAAATTTAAAGAGAATGTAAGGGGTTTGACTGAGCTTTTCGTTTCACACAGGAGGAAACTGAGGCAAAGAGAAGTAAAATGACATGCCAAGGGCATGCAGTAGTTCATCAGATTTTCTTCTCAGAAGATTTCTCCACAGATTCTACTTACTGCTTCTAGAGTGTTTTTTTTTTTGATTTCTAGCTCTGTTTGCCAAAGACCCAAATGTTAATAACTGATCAAAATGATTTGAGTGGTATTTTTTTTATTCTTGTGTTTTGTGGAAAATAGTAAAATGAGATAACGAAATATTTGGTGGTTTCCCAAGAGGGAAATCATCTGTATCTTTAGGAAGTGGAGCATTGGGTAAATGAATGAGCAGGAACACTGGAGATGAAAGAGGGGAAAGGTGAGGAGGAAGACTCTTCAAGGGGTGGAATGCACCTATTTTAATCATTCTTAGGCCCGGGGTCAGCAAACTATGACCTTCAGGCATAAGGTAAGGATCCCACCATTTGGTTTGTACAAATTTCAAACATGTTGTAGAAGAGCATTTATAAGAAGTTAATGATAGGGAAATACTAACTTTATTTTTGACTTTGCTCACTTTTTATTTTTTATTTAATTTTTTAATTAAATTTTTTAATATACATTTTTATTAGTGAAACACCATGAGGTACAGTTGTAGACTTATAAATTTTTGTGCTTGGGTTTCAGTTATACAATGATCAAACACCCATCCCTCCACCAGTGCCCAGTCTCCACCACCACTGATCCCAGTATCCCTCCCACCCTCCATCCACCCCCATCCCACCCTATCTCTGTGGCAGGGCATTCCCTTTGATAGTGAAATACTAACTTTGAACCTTAATGACGTGAGGTGTTTTTTCATCCCCAAAATTCCATTTGTTTACTAATTCTGATTAGTTAGCTTTTATTATGAAAAGTTTTACTATGGGGTGGAGCAATAGTTCAGTGGGTAGGGTGTTTGCCTTGCACACGACCGACCTGGGTTTGATTCCCAGATTGCCATATGGTACCCTGAGTACTGCAAGGAGTGATTCCTGAGTGCAAAGCCAGGAATAACCCCTGAGCATCACCAGATGTAACCCAAAAAGAAAAAAAAAGATGAGAAATTGTATTCAAGTACAAATAGAGTAAATATGCTTTATTTGTCTCTTGGGCTGCAAAAGCCTAAAATATTTACTATTTTACTCTGTATAGAAAAACTGTGTTCACTCCTAGCCCAGGTTACGGACTGGATCTAGACATTTCCATACCAGACTGAGTCCCAGCACAAAGCAGCTTCCAGCAGGAAGGCGAGCTTTCCCATTCCCCTGCTCTCCTACTGACTCTCTCTCCTTTTTGTTCTCCATCTAGCCTTGGCCTTATGTAATGGGTTCAACCTGGAGACTGAAAATGCAGTGATCTTCCGAGAGAACGCCAAGGGCTTTGGGCAGAGCTTGGTCCAGTTCCAGGGATCCTGGTAAGAGCTGCAAGCGGTGTTTTCCCTCTCACCTGCTCTCCCTCCAACACATATGAGAAGAAAGGCAATTTCCTTGTCTTATTTTTTGAATAAGCAAGAAAGTTACAGGGTTCTCTTAAAATTTTTAAAAAACAAAGTAACATTGGCTTATAAGATATGTCGGGTGGGGGCTGGAGCGATAGCACAGTGGGTAGGGAGTTTGCCTTGCACGCGACCAACCCGGGTTCAATTCCCAGCATCCCAAATGCTCCCCTGAGCACCTCCAGGAGCAATTCCTGAGTGCATGAACCAGGAGTAACCCCTGTGCATCGCTGGGTGTGACCCAAAAAGCAAAAAAAAGTGTTAGGGGGTACAGTTTTACACTTCTTCACCACACTCCCCACTGAACACAGCTCTTCCATCCACCACAGTTCCTTGGGTCATTCCCATCCTTTAAAACCCTTCCCTTCTTTGATAATAAAAACTGCAAGGTTCTCCATTCAAATGATACAAGAGTGTCAGCAAAACTTCTCCTCACTCTTTCCCCCATCTTGAGAGGATTCCTGGTAAACAGTTTTGGTTTTCCAGAGAGATTCTATGTTTAATATTCCTCTATAGTTTCTGGACATCTATGCCACTGTACTTTGTATTGTCAGATCATGACCTGCTGCCCGTTTTGTAATACGTTTCATATGCTTCATAGACACTTCCCCACTGCTCCCAATTAATTCATTGTTCATGGGTGATTGCTTTGGAGCTCTGATGTCTGAATCGAGAGACCGCAGTAGTGACTGCATGGTTTGCAAAGCCACTATTTTTCTTAATAAAAAATAATATTTATGCAATAATGTTACTGTTCCGGAAAAAGTTTGCTTCTTTGCTCTATTCCCTCCACCCCCATTTTTGTCCTTAATAGATTGATTATTTTGCTGGTTAAGTATGTAAAGAATTTACTCACTTTTCTTTATGCTTTGGTCAAATTCCATTGTTAAATCTTTTATTCACAAACATTTAATACATTTTAAACTTTTAGTACTTGAACAACACTGCCACGTTATACATTTGCAAGTAAATGCTTAGAGCTGATGTTGCAGCGGATGTGACTAGCAATAGTTTCTTGTGGACAGTGTAAAGCTAGAGTGTCAACCACTGGGGGTCTTTAATGTTAGAGCTTTATTATTTATTTACTTGTTTTTTGGGCCACACCAGATGATACTCAGGGCTTACTCCTGGTTCTGTGCTCTGGGATCACTTCTCATGGTGCTTGGGGGACCATAGGAGGTGCTGAGTAGGAACCCGGGTGTGTCACTTGCAAGGAAAATGCCTTATGTGTTGTACTATCTCTCTGGCTGTTACAGCTTTACTTCACAGCTAACGTAGGTCTGTCTCTGTGGGTGGGCTCCTGATCTAATCAGCGGCTACAGAAGCAGCAGCAAACTTCATGTCAAGGGCAGCAGCCCCAACCTCAACACATTCTTTCTTCTCTCCCTCTGTACTATACTGTGACCTACCCTGCGGTGTTTCTGCTAGCAAAATTGATATGCCTCACGAACATGAGGGTCTTTTTTCCCTTTTTAGTTTCTGGGCCACATCCAGTGTTGCTCAGGGCTTATTCTTGGCTCTGAGCTCAGGGATCATTCCTGGCCAGTTTGGGTCCTGAGAATCAAATCTGGGACATCCACATGCAAGGCAAGTGCCCTATCCCCTGTATTATCTCTGCAACCCCCCCCCCCAGATGAGGTCATCAGATTGTTAGAGCCAATTGGATTGCATGTGCCTTTAGCAAGTGACGGTTCGTAGGTCTCCTCTGGCTCTTCCCTCCTCATTTCCTTTGTAATACTAGAATTCCTAGATAAAAAATATCACCGTATAGGTAATTTTAATAGATTCTGTAAGATTTAATGAATTAATTTATTTTAAATTTTATTTATGGGGTCACATCCAACTGTACTCGGGGCTTACTCCTGGCTCTGTGCTCAGGGACCTTTTGGGGTGCAAAGGAATTAAACTTATATTGGCAACGTGCAAGACAAGCAAGCACTCTGTTGCTCTGGCCCAAATTCTGTCGTGTGTGTATGTGTGTGTGTGTGTGTGTGTGTGTGTATGTGTGCAGCAAGATAGTTTTTATTGCAACTTATTTAGAAAGATATGAGGGAAGAAAAATAGAGAAGTACATGTTAAAGAGAGAACATAGGCTTCTCCGGAGTGGAAATTGGCAAATTTTCTTCTTCCCTTCATTTTTTGTTGTTGTGATGATGAGGGTCACACACCCATTCCTGGCTGTGAGACTTGACATATATTAATATCATCATGTGATATTTATCTTTATTTTTATTCTATCATATTAATTGATGTACATTTATAGAATTATCTTTGCTTTTTTGGAGTCCACCTTCCTTAGGGATGATGATTGAATCTCTTGTGTTACTACATTCAATTTGCCAAAATATTTTTGAGGATTGTGGCATCTATAATAATCAGAGATATTGCTCTGTAGTTTTCTTTTCTTTTTTTTTGATACTCTCCTTTCGTGATTTGAGAATTATAGTGATATTTGTTACATTGAATGTGTCTGGGGGTGTTCACCCCTATTCTATTTTGGAAGTCTTGCAAAATTCATGTAGTCATCATGTGGTAAAATCATGCAACTTGCTGTTATGTGGATTGAGCTGGAGAGTATCATGCTGAGTGAAGTCAGTCTGAAGGAGAGGGACAGACACAGGATGATCTCGCTCATATGAAGCATGTAAAGAAGCATAGTAGGGAAACAACAAATGCCCAAAGGCCACAGAAAAAAACTGTCTTTAGCAGGAAGCTTCCCATTGTGGGGAGTGGGGGGCTAAGCTGAAGGCAGCAAGGGTACACTGGGACAATGGTGCTGGAAAGCAGATGTTGCTGGCAGATGGGAAGCTGGAACTTTTTTTTTTTTTTTAATTTTTATTAGTGAAAAACCATGAGGTACAGTTGTAGACTTGCAAATTTTTGTGCTTGGGTTTCAATTATACAATGATCAAACACTCATCTCTCCACCAGTGCCCATTTTCCACCACCACGGGTCCCAGTATCCCTCCCACCCCCCATCCCCCCATCCCACCCTGCCTCTGTGGCAGGGCATCCCTTTTGTTCTCTCTCTCTCTTATTGGGTGTTGTGGTTTGCAAAAGAGGCAATGGGTGACAATCATGTTTGGTCTATAGTCTACTTTCAGCATGCTTCTCCCATCTTGGGCGGATCCTCCTAACACCCTTTATTTGGTGCTCCCTTCTCTATCTGGCCGCTGGAATGTTTTAATACATAAAACCTTAACATTAACAGGTTTGTAGACTGTGATACCTAAAAAAAAAGAATACCCCAATCCCCTACCCACCCTCCCCAAACCATCTGTTCCAGGACTCCTGTTCTTAGGGAGGGTTTTGGTTTTTTAGCTGCTCTTTCAATTTCTGTACTTGTTATTATCTGTTCAAGTCATCTCTTTCTTCCTATTTCAGTCATAAATTTCTAAAATTTTTGTCTGCGTCTTTGAGATTGTTCATTTTATTTGCATAAAATGTATATAGCATTCTGAATTATTTATTCAAAATTAGGTTTTTAAAAAATTTGACATTTTAAATTTTTAATTTGCACAGCGGGTAGGGCATTTGCCTTGCACGCAGCTGACCCGGGTTCGATTCCTCCGTCCCTCTTGAAGAGCCTGGCAAGCTACTGAGAGTATCCTGCCCGCACGGCAGAGCCTGGCAAGCTCCCCCTGGCATATTCGATATGCCAAAAACAGTAACAAGTCTCACAATGGCGACGTTACTGGTGCCTGCTTGAGCAAATTGGTGAGCAATGGAAGGACAGTGGTACACTGCTACAGTGCTTTGTTTTTGGATCAAACCTAGGTGTACTCAGGGCTTAATCCTGGATCAGTCTTGGTAGTACTTGGATACCTTATGGGGTGCCAGGGATCGAACACAGGCCAGTCTGGGTCCAGATGTATTATTGCTCCAACTCTGTTTTTCTGTTTTAACTCTGTGGTACTCAGACTACATTGAGCTTGGATTCAGGAGTCACTCCTGCTGGTTCTTAGGGGAACTTGGTAGTTCTGGGGATAAAACTTGAGGCTCAGACAGTCAAAGCCTGAGTTTCTGCCTTCTAAACCATACTTCTTGTCTCAATTCTGCTTTCTCTGAGTATGGGTTTTCTTTTCTTCTTGATGAGTGGCGCGTGGTTAACAATGGTGTTGATTCTTCCAAAGAGTCAGCTCTTTGAAATGTTGGTACCATCCTAGAGCTTCTATTTAATTTAGCTTTGCTTTAATTTTTAAAATTATTTTTCTTCTATTGACTTGTGGCTCTGATGTTCTCCTCTTTTTAAGTTTTATTTATTTGTTCTTCATTCTTTAATTCCTTTAGGAGTCTGTTGTTTATCAGAGACCACAGACGTAACTCAGTGGTAGAATACTTGTCCTGTATTTTTGAGGCCATGGGTTTGGTCCCTGGCACTGAAAAGGGAAAGAAAAAGGAAAAAAAAAAGGATTTTGGGGGAGAATTTTCTTGCTTATTATTGATGTGCATCTGTGCTGCCATGAACTTCTCTCTGTCTGTCTGTCTCTCTTGGTCCTGGGCATCAGACTCAGTCAGAGCCTCACATATGAAAGGTCAGTGCTCACTCATGGAGCTGCATCGCAACCCTAAACTTCCTTTAATACTGCTGCTGCATCTGAGTGCTTATGATTTTTTTTTTGTTTGTGATAGCACAATGGGTAGGGCGTTTGCCTTGCACACAGCTGACCTGACCAACCTGGCTGACCCGAGTTTGATTCCTCCGCCCCTCTCTGAGAGCCCAGCAAGTTACCGAGAGTATCTTGCCCCACATGGCAAAGCCTGGCAAGCTACCGATGACGTATTCAATATACCAAACAAAGTAACAAGTCTCATAATGGAGATGTTATTGGGCCCGCTTGAGCAAATCGATGAGCAATGGGAGGATAGTGCTAGCTAGTGCTAGTTCTACAGTTAGCTAAAAAAAATTTCTTCATTGA